TGGAGCCTTGGACTGTGAGCTTGGCTGAATTTAGAGGGCAGAGTATGGGAGGCTCAGTCCTCAGGGAGCACTGAAGGAATCAGGGCTGGGCCAGTCTCCCCACCACACACACACACACACACACACACACACACACACACACACACACACACACGCACTCGCACACTCTGGCTATGTCTCTCCTCCTCCTCCTCCTCCCAAACAGGGACGGGGAGGCAACAGTGGTAGTCACAGATTTGACACAGACTTGAGATCTAGTGGGAATGGTGGAATTGAAAGGAGGGCTGTTGACAAAGATCCTTGATTTTACATTTCACACTGTGACCCTTGACTACTTGGTTTCCACTCCATGAATTACCTGTGGATAGACTACAATTACAGAATGTGTGTCTGAGGTTGAGTCTTCCACTTTTGGAGCTGGCGATCTCATTCGGGTTATGATAAGAGGGTGTTCAGGGTAAGGAAACTGGGAAGGCAGGAGGAGTCATGCCGATCATGACCCAACAGTTACAAACAAAGCCAGTGATAATGTCACATAGTGGTATGTGGTAATGATGCCAATGGTGTGCAGTCACACAAGTGGCATTCGGTGGTACAAGCCGTGCATATTGTCCCCAGAGGAAAGGAAACTTAAACTCTCCTGCACAGCAGTGAAGTCACCATTATTCACTCCCCACTGTCTTCTATCCTCGTGGAGTTTAAGAAATGCCCCGACAAATACCGTCTTTTATTTTCTGCTCCTAGGTTCCTGTGGGCTGGGAAATGTTTCAAGAGGCTCCAATAATGATTCACAGATTTAAGTGGGGGAACTAGTATAAGCTGTGGTCTGGAAGAGAATTTAGAAGCTACTTAACACCATGTTTTCTGAATGTGTTACAATGGACTAGCAGGCTAAAGAGTCCCATATCACCAGCATCTCATCTATATATTTAAAAAATGCCAATTGTAGATTGCAACTATTTGGGAAAGAATTTCATTTAAACATGTATAAACTTTTTTCTTGTCCGAACTTCTTAAACAATATGATGTAACTATCACGTAGCATGTTTATTGCATTTAGCATTATGAGTAATCTAGAGGTGGTTTAAGTGAATGAGAGAGAGAGAGTGTGTATATATATATATATATATATATATATATATATATATATATATAGAGAGAGAGAGAGAGAGAGAGAGAGAGAGAGGTTACATGCTCTGTAAATTTAAGTAAGAGACTGGAATACCTCAGATTTTGGTATTCATGGGGTGTGAGAAACAACTCTCTGTATACTAAGGGAAGACAGTTTGTAAATATCTTATTTTGTAAGCTCTGAGAGACCCAACTACTGAGCTCCATTCCAGACATTGATCTTATGGTGCATAGTACATAGTGAAGGCCAGTGTGTATCTTTCCAAGGTATGCACACATAGAGTTTAGAATATGTATTAGTTGGGTTTGATGGGTGAATATTAATTACAAGTAAAAAATATGAAATTATTACTCTAAACACAAACTTCGTTAAAGTATGATAACTGACAGATATAGCATTTATAAAGCAAGCATGCAGAGTTTCAGTTAATTTACATGTATTTTATTTCATATGGCACTCACAGCAGCCAACCTGTGAAGGAAGTACTGGGGTCATCCCTGACTTTCACAGGAAAAAGCTGATGACTAAGTAATTGGAAAACAATTCCAAGTCCACATTCCTAGTGAGGAGGTAGATCTAATTGTAAACCTGGCCAAGTTTAAAATATAAAAACCTTGCTTTTAATCTTTATACCAAACTGCCTGCTGCATCTGCTTCAGTCAGCTTTCTGTGACTGGGGCAAAGTGCTTGAGAGAAGATTCATTTTGGCTTATTTTCTTCAGAAGTTTCAGTCAATGACCTGCTTGCTCCTTTCTTTGGAGGCCTCAGCAAGGCAGCATATGATGGACAGGACCCCATGGATACCAATATTATGGTGGTGAGAAAGCAAAGAGAGTATTAGGAAGGGACCAGCATCCCAATATCCTTTTCAAGAGCATGCCCACAATGGTTCAGTTCCTTCTGCTAGTCCATCCTACCTAAGGTCCTATTATATCACAGGCTGCCAATAAGGCTTTTAACATTTAGGCATTCTAGATCCATGCTGCAGCAATCTGTCAGATGGGGATTGAGATAGAATTTGTCAATACGCTAATTTTCTAAAGATAGTCCCAAGATTTATACTAAACAGTAGTAAATAATCAAATGAACATTAATGTGAACCTTAAACGAAACCTCTGTTCTTATTCACTGAGGAGTAACTAAGTGTGGATGAAATGTCCTGGCCTGAAGAGTTCACAGTCAAAGGGGACCACAAGCACACAGGATGTAGGCATAAGAGGATGGCATGGAAGAAAAGGGAGTGGGGTAGGGTGAATATATCAAACCACATTTGGCTTTTAGGAAAACATCACACAACAATTTTTTCTTACATTTACTGGTTGCTGACAAAAACATAAAAGTCTTAAAGGCCAGATCATTTACTACAAAGCTGACATGAGAAGACTTGTCTTGGGACCCTTGATCTCCAATTGTGTACTGTGTTTCCTAGGCTCCTGGTCATCTGATAATGTTTATGTTTTCTTGTCTTTGCCATGGAAATGTCTAACCTCAGATTCTTTGCTATCATACAGTAAGTGTTGCTTCAAGTCTCTAAAACCTTTAGCTAGTGCCTTTTATTCATTCTGACTGCTGGATTCCCCTCCGGCTCCAGCAAGGACCCTGTACAGGAACTGCCTTCTGAGCAAACAGATTAGTTTATGGCCCTACAAGGTTAAGCGTGATACATGTGTTTGGGGAAAATGGAGATGCGCATTAAGAAGAAACATTACTTTTTGATCCAGGCAGGAAAGCATACATAATCTCCTCTAGAGCCTGTGAAAGGCTTCATTTTACACATGAAATTGTGTGGAATTGCCCCAGACTGCATTCAACATGGATTCTGAGAATAGTCATTCTCAGAACAAGCTGCTGAGCACCAGTTAGGACCTAAGAGCACCAAAGAATAAATACAAGCAAATGCAATCAGTATAAAGCTGTAGAGAGCAAGCGTACACTAGTGTCAGAACATGGGACCAGTCCTCAACATTACAGTGGGATGTGTTAAGAACACAGGCAAAAGTAGCCTTGGAACACGTGAAGAAAATAAGATACAAAGGGGCCTGTCTTGCTATAGAAAATACTAATATTGAAGTACATATTCAATTGTTTAAAAAAGGATTTTTCTATTTTTCTGTGCATTGTAAAACTTTCTTTTCATCGTCTGGTATAAAAATCCAGGCCTGACAAGCTTGAGGAAGCAACTGCATTTTTCTAAGCAGTGAATTTTTAGTCATTTGCAAATTAGCCTTATCTTAATATTTGATCAAAAGCATTACTTGGGAGCTAAATGGAGACCATGAGATTACATGGCATAAGGCATTGACTAGCTTAACATGCCCTGATTTTCAAGCATAATAAATAAACTATATATGAAGAATTCAGAGGAAAGCTCTTTTGCATATATGGGGATCGTTGGTATCTCCTGATGGGCTATCTTACCCTTGTTATTAAATGACAGTGATCATTAAAATGCCAAACATATCTTGACAGAATTCAGTTTATAAAATGTCAGCAAGTCTGTGTTTTTATTAGTTTGCTCCAAATCAATTTAGAAATTTCAATAGAATGCTTGTAAGTATTCCCCAAGCACTGTCCATTCCTGACTTTCTGCACAAAAAAAATATTACAAATTAATCAGATTTTCAGATTTCTGCATAATGGCTTTGCACATTTATTGCTTAATCCTATTATAAAATGCTGTTATGATTGACACATCACTGTGGAGATAGAAGTCAATTGAATAATATGTAGCAGTCAATTTTATTTGTAGCTTAATGTGCTGAAGTATTTTTTCCACATTTCCATTATTTATAAGTCTGTCCCTTTGGAGACTATATAGAAGAATTTGTTTTAAATGAGCCAATAATACCTTCTTTAAAATTTATAAGCATGACAGAATCATATCTTTTTTCATTGGTTGGCCTCAGCATGCCAGTAAACAGAGTTTGAAATGTCTTCCACTTGCTATTCATAGGACAAACACCAGGAAAGTGGATCTTGTTAAGTTTTGCTTAGAACTGGATTTCAACCACCCTATTAGAAAATTTTAAGAAAACTAAAGCCCCCAACAAGGACACTTCACAAATGGCTGGCAGTTCTGTTTATTTTTTTATTCAAGTAATTATTGTTTCTATTATTATCTTCCCCACCCTGGTTAGTCCTGAAATGAAGCACATAGCACGCAGACCGTACCCACAGGCTTCAGCGATTTGCTCTCAGGGTGCTTGAAATGCAACAGGATGTCAGCATGGGAACGCAAGTTCAGTGTCTACACTAGTGGGTCTCTGTGAATTGATGCTCAGACATATCTCTTTTGCTCTGCACCCAGAAAACTTGCCTAAGGGGACCCATATTGCATTTAGGACACTGTGGAAGGGAGCACTGAAAAGGACTGTGGCTTTAGGAAAGGGCATTCATAAGAGTCCATCCAAAGCCACCATGAAGAGATAAGTTAAGGGAAGAGAACAAAGGGAGGCATCCCTACCAGGGAACAATATGAATAGACATGGTCATATCTGAGATTGTACTTTGACTTTGAACAATTAGCTTATTTGTTATTCACCCAGGCATACCAGACCCAGTTTCACACACATGCATGAACACATGTGCACTTACACACAGTGAACTAGAGTGTGCTGTCAAAAGTGATGTCTAATATAAGTTCTTTGGCATGTATGGAAGTATCCCTTCTCCTATTGTCTTTCCTTTCTATTTCCTGATTTCTTTGGCCATCCTGGATGTGCCATCGCATCATTTTTGCCATAACTGGAGCTATTGAAAAACGATATTTTCATAAACATCTGTTCCTCGGGGTGCCGTGATATCACAGAAAAGTGCTGGTCCCAGGCTGGTCTGGATACTAAGGGAGCTTTTCTCTTTTGAATTCTAGGGGCCAGAGGAAACACAGTCTTATCAGATCCAGGAACTCCTGACCAGCACCAGGCCAGTCAGACCCACCCCCCATTTCCAGTTGGGCCACAGGTCAGTATCTCCCAACTGCTTTCCATTAAGATGGTTTTACCATATAAATAACCAAATAAATAATAATGAGTTAAATCCAATTAACTCCAACAGAGCAAAGATGGTGATAAATTTTTGTATGGGAAGCTATATGACTACATTATTTATTAAATACACTCAAGAAAATATGTGTTTGCAAAAGTCTCTTCTTAAAGGTTGGTTTTAATCATGTGGAAATGTTTTTTCCCCTTCAAAACTTACTACATCTAGGCTTTGGTTACCATGCAGTTTTTTTTCTAAAGTAAAACTTTAATGACTGGAGTGTGAAGAAAATTAAGTTATTTCAACCTTACTATAGCCGTTTTTGAAATACAAGATGTGATTTAATATAAAAAAGTTAATGCAATTTTAATGCAAGTTCAGCTTATTGGGTTTGACAATACTGTACATCACACATAGCTCTTGCATTAATAAAGAAATACATTCATTATTTTTTAAAGTCCAATATTTGTTTTTTGCAGCCTGGCATGGCTTATATGGAGATGCAGAACACAATTATAAAAGGCTGGGCTTTCTTTAACCTCTGCCATCTACTGTGAAACTTTCAGAGTTCATCTTGCATTTAGGGAGAGAAATATCTGGGTCTTTCTTTCCCTATTGTTGTCATTGTTGTTCCTGGAAATTAGTCACTTTCAGTACAAGGAGAGTTTGCCCAAGTGAAAAGATTGAATCAGTTTGGACACTCTTATCCTTGTCACCATAAAATATTACAATAGCCTCAGATCCCATCACCCATTTCAGAGGCCACACAACTCCACACATGAAGACTGGACAGTGTCTATTTGGGAGACCAGAGCCTAGCTAGAGCCCAAAAAACATGAGCCATTGGCTTAAACTTCATACCCTTATAATGCCATTCTTCTTACTTTATGTATTCATATGTTTATATGCTTCTGTAGATATATGTGCACAGATTGCCTGGAAGCACATGAGACCTAATATGGTCTAATATCTCTAAGTTAGGCAATCAGAATGACAGACTCCAGGCAGTGAAGAAGTATGGCTCTGTGACAGCCAGAAACAGGCATACCCTAACTTAAGCCCAAATCCATACTCAAAATTCTGCCTGTTAAGCCTCCAAACCTGTGTACAATCGAAGAGCTACTACATGTTTCCCTTGCAGCACTGTATTGATTGGCCATATCTTACCAGGAACTTTAGGACCACGCTACAATTTCATTATTATTCCCCAAGTCTGATGATTTGTTCTATAGAGTGACTTCATGTTTTTAAAAGAAGGAGCAAAGGTATTGGTGTGAATTCAATAAAGTGAATAAATACATCAGGAGTCCAGTACCTCTCCAGAGATTCCTTTGAAAGGATCTAGAAGATATTCTAGAGGGATAGCCAGAGAACGTGCCCACCCTTGCCTCATTCTTCAAATGCAGCAGTCCCGTGTCTCTGAATCTGTCCCTTGTATTGAAGAAGGATAAACAAGATAGACTCTGGAACAATCTATCCTGTCTTCAACGTGACCTCTCCATGCATGAGACATGGAGTTTCAGGTAGTTATGAAACTTTCTGAGTCTCATTGGTAAAATATCTGGAATGTAGGACCTGGTGATTACAATCTGACTTTATATCATGTCCATATTTCAATACCTTTTCTATGTTCCATCAAAAAGAAAGTTAATCCTAGATAGAGTTTCATTTTAAATCCCGTAGAGCCAAAAAATGTGGGTTATGTTTTACTCCACAGCTCCTACAAGAGTGTAGAGAAGTCCTGGCTTAAGGACTCTAAGTTCAAATGACTTGTGCTGTCATTTAGCCTGGCCAGAACTATAATCTTAGTGTATCACTCCAGTGAGAACTCTACCCAGCATTCAGACAAGTTTTGTGCTCTATTGTTGCCTTTTACCATGACTATTCAATCAAGAGGGGACATAAACATGTGTTTTTATAATTACATCTTAATTGGGTGAAGACTATGAAAGGATTAACAGAAGAGGATTTTCTAGTATTTTACATTAAAGTATAAGTATTTTGTTTTCTATTACATTTTATATCTTGGCATCACACACACAAACATTACCATTTCAATAGTAACCACTTGTTTACCTGGTAACTATCCAGTTTATTTTCATATCAGGAAGATTTTTTAACTTTCCTAAATAGATATCAAAATAGAGACACAGCATTCTCACCAAGTTTAGCACTATAACATGAACTGTTTCAACACTTATGTAATTTGAAGTGTATTGCATAATTTCATGCGTTTATCACTTCTCCCTTTGAATTCTATCTTGAAGCTATATCCTAGGAGTATATTCTGAGTCAAATGGGGATGAATATATTTGCCATTCTTGATATGTATTTCCAAATTGCTTTCTAAAAGGATATGCCAGCAATCAGGCTCTGCAGCCACAGATGTACAGCATCACTAAAGACCTTCTAGCATACCAAAAACCTTTTACACTACTTTTGTTGATGTAATACTTGAAAACAGTATGTATTACTATTTTAAGCCAAAAACATAATAAAAATCCTACCAACATCAATGAATTCTTTCTGTAACAACCTAAAATTAATTAGCCGAACACTTTAAATATATGAGTCTAGATCAAGTGAAAATTCAATTGAATTTGCAATATGCAAAGGTATGAAAAATTTCAAAGACATAAGTGAAATGTAATGTCAAAATATTATTTCTTCCTTAGTGGGCTGGAGTATGCTTCTTTGCTCCTTGAGAAACTTCCTGACAGACTGTAATGGAGGGACTGTGTTTTGAAAGGCCATGTCTCATTCTGCTGGAAAGTGAGACAGGTTTCTTTTGTTTTGCAGCCTCTTCTAACAGCACAGCAGCTAGCCTCTGCTGTGGCCGGGGTGATGCCGGGAGGCCCCCCAGCCCTCAATCAGCCCATCCTCATCCCCTTCAACATGGCGGGACAGCTAGGTGGTCAGCAAGGCCTGGTCCTCACACTGCCCACGGCAAATCTCACAAACATCCAAGGCCTGGTAGCAGCAGCTGCAGCTGGAGGCATCATGACTCTGCCATTGCAAAATCTACAAGGTAACCCCATGCTGTGCAGTGTTCCACTCACTGGCCAAGTTTTCCAAAATGGACAGAAAGCCCTCTGAATGGGGAATGTAACTTAGGGGTGCTTGTACCATAAAGGGTCTAAAAGGCTTCAGCAGAAAGCAACATTTTCCATTATTTCGAATCCTGAGCCTGTTTAAGCCTTTCATGAATGGCAAAGCTTTTCAGGTCCTCTGGAAGTACCTGCAAGCAATCGTTGCAGGACATGCCATCATCTAAATGTGAGATCATAGCGTTGCTATTTGAGGACACAGTTATAATCCCACACGATATTCAATTTGGCCACGTGGAAGGGAAGGTTGTATGTTCCTTATATCTGTGTTAAGTGGTTGGAACACCACAAATAAAAAATGTCACTTGGAACTATTAACTTAATGATTACTTTGCTACTAAATAGGATTTAGATGTAAGTGCTCAACACAGATTATATTATCTGGACTTTTTGGGAGAAGGAGGACCTGGTAGAAGGGAGAAGTTTTTCTCTAGAGTTTAACATTTTTGACTTTTTTCAAAATATATGATAACACCAGCACTGGTTGATTTCTAAGTTATTAATCAAAGAAAAAAATAATTATGATGAAAGATGCTCTGAATAAGAATATAATTTCTGGTATTAAAAAACCCAAATATTTACCTTGATATACTTAAAGCAGTTGACATCTTCATTTATGTAAATGTCAGCATTTTGTTTTGTTTTACAGAATGGTTTGTCTGGGTAAGTCCTCAGAATAAGAATGTAAAGTACTTTTAAAATGGTCAGATGTTAGATGTTTATATGGTTTATTAATTGGTTAGGACATTCCATTCACACGCTGAAGAACAACCAAGAACTAGTGAATCTTGGACCTGTGCAGTCTGTGTGCTCTGATGTTTCACCCATTGTTGCTATTTCTTAACTTTCAGTTTAATGTTTAAAACAAAGTCTCTTTTATACCATTAAATTGTGCCAAGAATCTTGCCATTCATAAATCATGCATGCTCAGGTTACACTAATGCATGAACTTTGCTTGTTTCAAATTTGAGTGCCTGGGAAGCCAGGAACTTGAGATTAAACAAATAAAGCAGGAATACACAAAGTGAAAGCCGAAGCAACAAAGTGTAGGGCCAGGCTTCTTAATGCAGGTGGATGATGAAATCTTAATGAAGAAACAGGCATTATCAGAATGCAGCCTTCCATTTGGAACATGTGTGCTTATGGGAATATTGAATATTATAAATAAACATCAGCTTGCAGAGCTCCTAGGCTGTGAATTAATTCTGCTTGGTTAAGATGGACACCAAAGTCAGAGTAAAGAAAGGAAGTCTTTTTAAACTTTCATTGTAGGTGGGTGTTGTTGGGATTTTAGTGCCTGTTACTCTAGGGTTTCAAGATCGGTGCCGCCCTGGTATGCAGCAAGGCCTTCTCCATTTTGTTTTCGATGTCAAGTTTATGTATAAGTTTATGATTTAGACCTTGACTTCTTGGCACTGTTGCTTATGTCAAACTTATGTTTGTCCCCTGGGTAATGGTAGCAGAAGCTTGAGCTCTTTTGATCCTTTGGTTCCCTTGACAAGTCTTCCAAACAGTATTGCCTTCAGAAGTGTATTTGTGTTCTCAACCAAGCTCATGTTATCACAGAATTGGGAGCAAATGTTTCATCCTTTGAAGTCATCTTTAAAATTTCAGTGGTTTCTGGAAAGGAGGTGATAAGATCATTAATGTGAAAAACCCCATCAGTAAGTCAGCTGACTAGGAGGAAGTTTCCCTCATTGGTCTTAACATCAAGCACCTCCTCCAACACCCTCCCCTTTAGGATCCAAATCAGCACCAGATAAGGACATTCTACTTTAAACTTTTCTGACCCTTCCATATCCTCTCACTAATGTGAGTATATTTGTTTACATCCCTATCAAGAAGCAGCATACTTCTCAGAGGAATCCACAATACACACATGCGTTATCACGAGCCCTGGTGAGGTGATGAGAGTGACTCTTCTTAACTCAGTGGCTCACTGGATCATCTCCCCTTCAGGATGTGATCCTAGAGAGCAGCTGGGGACTTGGAAGAACAGAACCTCAGACTCCAGGAGATCCCTGAACAGAATTTGCATTTTCACAATTTTTCCTAGGCAACTCCTATACACATTCAAATTTAAGAAATTAAAAAGACTAAGACACTTGTTCAACCCCAGTTGACAATTCCTTATCTTACACAGTCTTGGTCTGTTTGGGCTGCTATAACAAAAATTCCATAGACTTGGTGGTTTACAAACAGCAGACATTTTCTTGCAGTTCTGAGGCCTGGAAATCTGTAAAAGCCCTTGTTTGTTTGTGCCCCATGGTGAGGGGCCATCTGTGAGAGCCCGTTTTTGTGGGACTAAATCTATGGTTTACCCAGTTTTGTGGGGCTTCAGTCAGATCCAGACAACTTGCCTGGTTTGAGGGGGAATGTGGATTGAGGAATGGCAGGTAAAGATACTAAGCAAAAGATAGAGACACAGAATAAAGTCAGGAGGACTCCTTTATCATGATATAAGGAACAAACAGACTTTCTTCCTTAATTCTCCAAACATTTAGTAACCATGCTTTAGCCTAAATCTCTCCTTATCTGGTTTTGAGGATTAAGAGTAACCAACCACACCTTAGGCCAAGTCTTTTGTTATTTAGATAAGACATCCTCACCTAAAGCCAAACATCCTACAGTAGCCACACCTTAGACCTTTCGGTCATATGACTTTTACCTTGGAAGAGTAAGTATAGTTTTGAACTTTGTGACCTTAAGTCAAGATGAATCGACGCCACTTTTAGAGACCCTAACAGAAGTCTAAGGTCAGTTCTGACAAGTCCACTCCCTCCTTCACTGGTGCTTGTCTTCTGAGTCCTCACTAGCGGGAGAGGCTCTTTGGGTTTTCTTTTAAGAACATTAGTGTTCTGCTCTGACTACTTTCCAGAGGCCTGTATTCATAGTAGTGCTTGGGAGATTAGGTTTTACTAAAAATGTGGGAGGAACACAAAGTATTCAGGCCTTGGTATTCCCTAACACTGGCAGAAAGCTCCTTTAACAAACTCTGAGCATCGTATGTGGCCAAATAGTGCCCCTATGAACACTCCTAGTCTTGTCCCATGCCAGAGCCCCAGTGGAGGATGCCAACCCAAGGTGTAACTTACTGGAGACATATTTGTTTCTGTTAGTTCATATGTTTTCCAAAGACCAAGGGAACCAGTGCTCTTGCCTAATGATAGTGTGGCTGAACCATTTATCCAGGAAAACCTTCACATTACCCATAAAGAAAACCTGGGTCAGCAGACAATATATCTGGTTTTAGGACTATTGATTTTAGTCCTTTAGTCCTTCCTTTAGCAGATTCCTTTCAAGAAAGAGACTCCCCCCATCTTATTGCTGACATTATATTGCGAGTAAAGAACAGGGTATTGCATAGGTGTAAGGTTTCAGGTATTATGCTGGCCTGCCCCTATCACCTGTCATAGTGCATTCAGGCAGTACCTTGGTCAGCCCAGGTGCAAAGGACCCCTTTAAAAGAGAAAGACCTCCGACCACTTAAACTCTCTTTTCCACATTTTTTCCTGAGACAGACAGGATTTTTCCTGTCTCCCTCTCCTCATCTGTCCTCTCTTTGTCTCTCTTTACCTCTTTTCTCTTTCCTTCCTCCCTTTCCCTTTCTAATAAAACTTCTCACTAAGCTCTGTGTGTCTGGCACGTTTGTTCCGTGTCCTGTCCCTGTCATGTCTCTGCCCCATCCCATGGAATCTGCCAAGCCCTCACACTTTATCATAATCATAGGGTCCTAGGAACAGTCCTGTAGGCTAATCTTTCCCAGCCCTTACTGAGTTCTCAGTCCCAGACCTCAAGTGACCCTGAGAAGGCTAGTTGGACTAGCCTCAAGTATACAGTAGAGAAGTGTTAGAATGTGCTTAGAATGATTAAGAACCCATTTTATGTCTTCTCCAGTTCCCTTCAGGCCACTTCTCTATTGAAACTTAGGTTCGTTTGTGGTCCACTTTCCAACTGAGGTAGTTATGGGAAACTTTATACCACGTTCAAGCTCCTTTGTGTTTCTAGCCTTTTCTTTTATTAAAATTTTAGACTATCCAAGAGAGAACTTGCCTGCTGTGCGATATTTTTATTCTGGATGATCTTATAAGTTCACTAGCCAAGATGGAGTGTAGTTGGAGTCTTCTTTGGGCCACCAACCAGCTACCAAATAGAGCCATGGAGACTTATTATTTGTGAATGCTCAGCCTTAGCTTAGGCTTGTCCTAAGTTTAACTTAATCTAACCTGTTTCTATTTATCTATGTTTTGCCTTGGGGATTTTCACCTTTCTTTCATTCTGCATATCCTACTTTTATGCTTCTTCCATGTCCATCTGTCTGTCTGGCCCCTGGCATCTCCTTATAGTCTCCTTTTCTTTCCTCCTCAAGCATAAATTCCACCTCCTACTTATTCTCCCTGCCCAGAAGTTCCTCCATCACTGTTGGCTGTTTAGCTTTTTATTAAACCAATCAGGTGCCTCGGGCAGGCAAGGTAAAACACCAACACATCTTTATATAGTTAAACAAATGTTCTGCAACAAAGCAAATGCAACACATCTTTGCATAGTTAAATATTCTGCAACCCAGGAGATAAAGAGGACCATGTTGAGGTGTTCATTCTTATTCAATGTGTCCTAGAAAGTATGGGACCTGAGCAAGCATGCTGAGGGAGCATGCTAGACCTTTCGTCCATGGTTATAGGACTTACATTCCATGTGGCTGTAGTCAAACTCACAACTGTGAAATGAGACCAACAATGAGAGTAAGCCTCTAAGAGGGAAAATTGCTAAGTGTATTCTGGGTCACATTATTTTAAAACTCTTTTAAAAGTCGTTATCTAACCAACTCCTTTTGAAGTGGATACTATGAAAAAATCATGCAGGGTTGCTCAGGAAAATATCAATTAGTTGTAACTGCAAAATAAAATCTCCTTTCCAGAGC